GGGGACGGCCCCGACAGTCGGCTTCCAGAACTATTGAATTCACAATCTATTGAGTGGAGTCACTCACGAGGCTTTTCTTCTCCCCGCGCCTCGCCTTTCTATTTTTTTGAACCCTCCTGTTTTATCTCTCCTCGTCTCCATCCCAGTGAGGGGGCAGCCAGCCGAGAGCGCCGCCGTGGTGTATTGATGCTAACATGGTCAGCTAAATGTTTTAAGAGGCAGGGGGGATATGACAAAAGCGTTCCCCTTGTACTACAAAGCCCCGCTGTAACTCCGTCGCCCCCCCACGCCTTGACTTGACAGATACCCCAAAGCGGCTGTTTGCTCTGATTTAATAAAAACTATTTTGTAATCCAGATTTCAGACGAGAGGCGTACATCAGTGAAAGTTAAAGAACACTGTGAGGCTCCTCTGTGTTTCAGAGGAAGAACAGAAGAGTATTAGCACTGACACGAGATGATATATATTTCAGTGTTGAGGAGGAACGAACGCTCTGCTGGAGGTGTTAAGATGAATGTTTTGGGATTCCTGGAGGTAGAGAGTTGGATAATGAGTGATTGGCACTGTCTTGACTCTCTCCTCAAACAAAACACATCCTGAGTATTAGTTCCTACATTAATTTGAGGTTGCAGCTCGCCTTGTGCTTCAAAATCAAACGGCCCAATTAGCTCTCAGTGCAGCTATTGTTGTTCTTCTTCTGATTATCTCTGATTATACCTGGACCGGTCCATCAGACGAGCCCTGCTTTGGTTGATTATTATTGCATGTTGACGTCTTTAATTTGCATGTCAAAGATGTAATCACTTCACTGCAATGTCAACAAATCTGCTTGTATGTGTTGATTCTGTCCTCGTCATGCACTCCGGACCTGATCCCGCCCTCTCTAGTCAATGCTTGTGTCTCCACTGAACATCCTACTGCGCTCCGGTCCGCACAAAACTTAGAAAAAGGTCCATCTGCAGTCGGGATGAGCAGGTTTGAGAGCGCTCACTTAACCATCTTGCTACACAATCACAGCCCGTCCAGTGCGGTCTCTGAACACTTATGAAGATGTGGACCTGCACATGGTATAATCAATAGCATCATCATAGCGTCTGACTGTCCACAACTTTCACGTTGTTTTTCTTATGTCGCGTCTTGTCTCCTGAGACCCCCCACCCACCCCACCCCCCCCCCTTTCCCGTCCAACAGAGATAATCTCCTTCTGTTAGGGACGTGAGAGCAAGCAACTCTTGCTTTAATGTGAGTATTTTAATGTGTCGACAGTCGACTGAACCCTTATCTGGTGAGCAGAGAGTAACCAGATAGAGATAGCCGCGTCAGCTAGGTGATAGTGTGACAAAATAAATTGTCTATTAACATAATCTTCACCTGAACCTAAAGATTAAACCTACAGGAGACATCTCCGACTAGTGAGAGAGTTCCCGCCCTCTGTGTCCGGCGTGATGACCTTTAATGTCCCCGACAACCACTGTAGTCACATTTAGCCGCTTGTTAGCAACCGCCTTTTTAAAGACGAGTAAAAACTTCAAACTTCACAAGTGGAGGTATTACCTAACGTAGTTTATGTGCTCTAACAAAACACCAACATCTCTTCAGCTTGTGTTCACCACAGACCTTATTTCAGGAGTCTAACCACAAACACATTCAAAATCCCCGTTGACTTTTAGACGTTAGACCCCATGGCGCTAACATGCTAACTTACTTCAGGGTTTTAGGACTCATTCCTGTGGCGCTCTATAAATGAAGTTAAACATCCAAGAAGAAGAAGAACAGTAAACAAAAGGGACCCTTCAGGGTGGGATCGGTACCCTTGGCACCCCAACAGAATTGGGTACCAAAAAAGTAGGACGGTACAGATCGCTTATTTTGGTAACATTCCCAACTTTTGACGGTGGAAACGCCTTTAAATGGGTCCCATATTGGACCGAACTGAACCGGACCGCTTGGTGGAAACGGGGCTTAAGTCTTTAACTGCTGTAGCGTTTGGTGGCAACGGTTAACTTGCTCCAAACTTGTCCCGTTACAAACAAACATGTAATGAATAATAAAAATGTCATGTCTCTCAGCTGTGTCCTTGATGAGAAGTTTTCAGATTAAAATCTGCAATTTTTCAACCTAATCATGATAAAAATACAACAACAAAAAAAAACAGTTTGTTATGGGTCAGAACCTTTAAAGCCCCTCGTGCTGGGAAGATAAGGAAAAATAATTAATGAGTGATTTTCTGCAGGGAGAATTTTTTTCTGTGGCTTAATGAGCTATCCAGGCTTAATGAACCGTCTGAAAAAAAACAAAAACACTAAATTTAGAACTGAAAGAGATTCAGTTATGATTACGACTGTCATATTTACAGTGTGTGTCATCATCATTCCTGTGTTTGTCGGCCGTATTTGGTTTCCTCGTGTTTCTGTTTCTCTTTGTCGAGTGCGAAAAATCGTATTTTTTTCCCTCCAACTCTGAGTTGAGGAGAGTTGAAAAGTGCAGAGACCGGAGAGGAGAGGCGAGCAGAGCCTCACGCTCCCTCAGCTCCATCTCGATAAGCAGAGGGTCAAACGCAGAAAACTTAACATTTGGCAAACAGTTTTTACTCTTAACAGCCGTAATGGTCCTTCAGAAAGAGCTCTAATTTCAGAGAATATAAAAAATGAATAGTGATGCTCTGAGTAAAACAGAAAGTTGTAGATCTTAAACTCATGGATGCCAAACATGGCTGAGTCGAGGCTGGAGAGAGAGGGAGTGTGAGTATAATGGAAGACCCTTGAATTATTCACTCAAACATGCTGTCATGTCTGGCCCCGTGTCAAAACCTCATACCTACTTCCTGTCACGTTCAGAGTGTGAGAAACAAGGAGCAGGTCGTGTTCTGAAGCCTTTCACACTCGCACAAAACTCAAGGAAACCTTTCTGAAGTTTTCAGGATGAGCTGCTTGTGTGACCGCTAAACAGCCAAATATTTCACTCTGACTTTCCCGGGAAGTTTTTCCTGCCAGCAACTTAAGGAAGTTTACCCCGCGAGAAGTCTGGGTGAGCTGATGTGAGAAAGCTCAAATATTGGAAATCTTGTGAAATCTCTCTCAGTCAAAAGGCGACTGAAGTGTCAACAAACATGGCGGACGACAGGCAGGACTACCTTTTTACTTCTTACTGATAATTCATGAGGAGAAAAGTGGAACTATGGATGAAGTCAGGGAGATGATTTTAAAAAATTCAGCTCGAGGTGAGTGAAAATAAAATGTGCTGGGTGGCGACTGTGGCCTAGTGGTTGGCGTGTGTGACACATGGGCAAACAAAGTGGTCTTTTAGGCGGACGACCCGGGTTCAGATCCGACCTGTGGCTACTTTCCTGCATGACAAACCCCACTCTCTCTCTCTTTTCCTTATTTCTGACTCTGTCCTGTCTCTAAATAAAGGCAGAACAAGCCAAACAATTAACCTTTAATGAAATAAATCAACAAATGTTCTGTGGTTGTTGTGGTTCCTTCTTCTACAGCTTGCTTCCCAGTCCACTAAATGTTTTGTTTTTATGTGACAATCCAAAGTGCTCAAACAGCTGCTGCCCTCAGAGTTTCCTCCACTCAACAGGGTGTTTGACTGAAAATATCAAACGTGTTTATTTTCTACGATTTGAAATCAGTACGTTCTTCTTTAAACTTCTTTAAACTTTAGAACCATCCAAAAAAATCTGGACCATGCTGAAGGGAGACTAAGCCTTGAAACTATGTTTTGCTCCCCCCTTTAGGAATGAGCACCATTACTGTAAAGATGAAATATTTTGTTGAAAATTAAACGTAGCTAGCATTTCTGGCATTTAGAGAAATATCTTTGGTTAAAAAAAAACAAACAGATTATTTGATTGGTGGTACATTCAGCATCTATTCTCTCCCACAGTAACCGTGCACAGGCCTCAGATACCTCAGCATGGCTGCATCGAGGCTTTTTAAAGAAAGTGATCCACCACCAAGTCCCTGCTCAAACACAGCAAGCCTCGTGCTTTTTAAACACAATCTGCTTTGAGCAGCAGTTCACTGCACATTATTCATACCATCCTGCTCCTGTGAGAATAAAAAAAGAAGACATCTCTGGATGTTAAGCCACCACTTCAAAAAAGGTGAACCTGGCAGTCTGCTAACAGTTTAACCCTGTCTTCTCCCTTTTATCTCACCCCCAATTTAATTACTCCTGGCACATCACTCGGGCTCAGGGAGGGAGAAATTAATGGGAAGTATGAAATATGTGATTACATGCTCGTTTGGCTCTTAAAAGTCCTAAAAAAAAAAAGAACATAAACGGCGTAGCATCTCGTGTGCTGTGCCGTCTCGGTTCAGCCCGAGAAGAAGAAGAAGAATACTGCATGGTTTAGAATTTCATAACGTTGGGCCACACTTACATGCACACCGTGATCCTTTAGCCTTCATAAAAACGCTGCAATTAATTCCGAGGTTATGTAAAAACCTTTATCTAATTACGCTGCTTAGAATGGGGATGATTAGCAGGTTCTGTAATGGAGACATTCAGAAGAGCTGGGATAATTGTTCTGTTAATGGAGGGGCTGTATGGACATGTAAATCCTATATTTTCTTATAAGCTGGGCCCACTGGGGACCTCCCAAGATGCAGCATTCACACTGTGTACACACAGCCTTTACAGCCTGAAGAACTGAACCTTGGACACATTACAAGACAATTATGTGTGTGCGTAATCATAAGGAAGAGACATAAGAGTGCAGTTTGTGACAACATGGATATGACAAATGTTTGCAGAGATCTGCCGGGAAAGAAGGCAAATAATCTCTTTCTTGGATAATTTTTGTGTAAATGATTGCAGGGAAACAGAAACAGTCACAGAATGAGCTTCTGCTGTGCATGTAAACAACTTGATCATGGTTTTCTCCAAGGGGTAAATGTGTGAATATAAACGCATTAAATGTGGCAATTCAGGCTGAATATGGAAGCAATCAGAACAACACGGTTTGTCATCACATCTGAAGGCAGACTTACTTGAGGCTGAATTGTTCCACCGTGGAGTTGGGCATCAGGTAGAGGAAGATTGTGAGGGTCTCCCCGGGCTTAAGGGGTTTCTCGGGCAGCCTGAGGAACATGTTCTTGTCCAGCTGCTTGTCCACCAGCAGCTGCTCCTGACTGGCCTGGTAGAGGCTGATGCTCCCGATGCGCAGCAGAGGGTGCTGTGACAGAGGCTCTCCCCGAGAAGAAGCACCACCACCAGCACCCCGATGACCAGAGCCCTCGCTGCACTCCCCGTCCGGATTAGGCCCGTGCAGGGTGTAGTAGAGCTCGGCCTGCAGGGTCTCACTCGTCAGCCCGTCCAGGAGCCCGTCACTGGAGCCTTTCCTCCGACCCAGCGGGGCCACGTTGGTGTTAAACCAGGACGGAGGCAGATCCAGCTGGGCCAAGCACTGAGCGAGGTTGCCTTTCATGCGGCAGGAGGTTTTGATCTCCCGGACGTCCCTGAAGGCGTGCAGCCGGACGCAGGGCAGCTTGTCCTGCGCTTTGAAATCGTCCCAGTCCCGGCCGGCGATGTAGAAGAACACCTGGACGGTGGGGTTGTTGGAGAAGACCCGGGCCTGGACAATGAAGGCGCGCACCTTCCAGTTGACCGTCAGCTGCCCGGGGATATCCAGAGGACTGGCTGGCTGCAGCAACTCCTTAGACACGGCCTGGTCCTGAGCGAAGGGCCCGAAGCTGATGTTGATGGCGGGCAGGTCTTTTGTCTGGAAAACCACAAAACTCTCTGAGCGCTGCAGCGGGTGTCCCGTGCTGGGGCTGCTGCTGCTGCCACTACCACCGCCGCTCCTGCCGCCGCCGCCAACTGTTTGTCCTGTGATCTGAGCCTCCCGCAAGAAGAAGGCCAGTTGTGCATTGGACATTTTGAAGTTGGCGGGGAGATACACGTTGGGTGGCGACGGGCTGGCCGTCATCGCCGAGGAGCTGAGGAGGGCATCGGAGCTGGTTGGAGAGACTTTACCTGCAAGAGCTGTGGAAAAAGAAGAAGAAGGAATTACACATTTTGAATAGTTAACAGAAGAAGAACAGAAGAAGAGAGAGGGACAAAAGTGATGTGAATGAATGAGATAAAAGCAGGAAGTGAGGAGGAGAGGTCTGCTGTCTACTCAGCCATGTAGAGACAAAAAAGAAAGAGAAGGTCAACTCAGGCTAATTACATGATAACTGGTCAATACATGTCAAGCATCCAGAGCACAGAGGAAAACGTGTTGGTGGCAGACGGTTGATCTTTATCCCGGGAATTAACAACACCTTCAATCAATCAGCCAGTAGGTGTTTGGCAATTCAACAGTTTGAAGAGTTAAACTCCCAAGACTCAACAATCTTAGTAAAACAACAACAACAACAAGAGAAGGAACATGAAGGTAACACTCAAAAACAAGACCACCAACAAGAGTTTGTTTTTGTATCTGACGATTCTGCAGCGCACTTGTTGAGAGAAACAACACCTCTAAGTTACTAACAGCTATTGAAGAAACAGAAGAAATGTGACATACTTATCAGAATTACCCAGAGCTGAGCACAAAAACAGAGATGCCTGTCCCCATGGTCCAAATCATAGATTAAAAGTCCCATATTCCAAAAGGTTTTGTCATTGAAATGGCATCCTTTAAAAATCTGAAAAAAAGGAAATCCTCTTGAAAAGGTTTAATGTTCCTCAGTGGGCACTCCGCACAAGTTCTGGTGCTCCGTTTTCTGCTTTCTCTCTGTAATGAGTTGCTAAAAAAGAAGAATGAATGAGGAAGAGAATGTGCTCCAGCAGCGCTCCACTTGGTCGTTCCTCCTGTGTGGTTTTTGTCCTTCCTGTCTACAAAAGGATCCACGGAGCTTCTTGAACTTGTGCTCGTCTTCGTTTCCCCCCTTTAGTTCAGGTCCTGGTTTCGAGAGTATAGTATAGTTCAACCTCACGCAGCGGCTCTTTCAATCCCCCAGACTGTGTGCATGCATGGCTCCGGGACACACACACACACACCCCCACACACACACTCTCTCTCTGATAGACACTGGCTGAGCCTCCTCCCCGGCTGGTGGGCTGTACGGGAACTATAGACAAAAAGCCTGTGACGCCGCCCCCGTCTTGCCACACCTTAGTCTCTCTCTCTCTAGTCTATAATCACCATTTCAGCTCCCGAAGACACACAAACCCTCGGAGGACTCCACTCACACACACACACACACTCACACACACACACTCCCACACTCACACACTCACACTCACACACTCACACACAGCGACGCGCACATGGAGGCGAAAAGGACTCTCCAGCTCGATTCATCCTCTCCCTCTGGACGTGTTCAGGCAGACTCGCAAGTGTGTGTGTGTGTATAGGGGGCTGGATGTGTGTGTGTGTGTGTGTGTGTGAGGTGGGGCGGGGGGATGGATGTATTGCTTGAATGCCTCTAGGCATCGAGAGAGAGAGAGAGGGAGAGGGAGAGAGAGAGAGAGAGTGTGAGAGTGAGAAGAAGGAAAAGAGGGAGGGATTAAGCAAAGATTATTGATGAATTAGCCTGGCTCTCCCTTCTTTCTCCTCCTCTTTTTCCCCTTCTCCTCCTCCCCCTCCTGCCCCATTTCGTCTGCTTTTTAGCCCCCCCTGAGAAAACCATGAGATGAAAGGGGGGGGGGGGTACCGGCCGGTATAGTTTGGGGAGGGGAATCTGGGCTGCACTCACATGTGCTTGGAATTCCCATAATAAAAGAGAGAGGGATCCATGGATGTGTGAGTGTGTGTGTGTGCACTTGTGAGTGTGTGTGTGTGTGTGGGCCCTGTAAACTGAATGGCAAACAGTGGGGGCAACAAAAGATGAAGCCACAGCCGGGGGGGGGAAACATCCCGCACTTACAAATGAGCAGTCGTCGCCATAGAGAAGGCTGCAGGAACTATAGTGATGAGAGAAGCTACTTAAGAGGCTGTCTAGTGTTTATCGACCAAAGGCTTCTTCTCTGCACCTCACTGGAATGTGTGTGTGTGTGTGTGTGTGTGTGTGTGTGTGTGTGTGTGTGTGTGTGTGTTTGTGCTGTTGCCTCGATCACCATTTAAAAGCAACAAATATGCAACAACAACAAACCCACAAAGTTCCCTTAAGGGCTCCTGCACCAGGACGCCATCTGCTTCATCCTCCCGGGTCCCAAAACGTAAGAGCCACCATCCCGCACACGTTTGACTGTATTTTTTGCAGCCACCATTGGCCGCCATTACAAATTTAGAGCGTCTAATACCGATCCTGGGCCTCGGGAAAAGGATAGAATATTGGCCTCACATATGAGGATATATTTACACCTTGTACGCTTGCCAATACTAATATCGAAGAGGCGTCCTTTACTTTTTCCACACGACCGCTTAAAGCTGAATTTGATTTTATTTCTGTTTGATGTAGGTAGCTGTCTTGAGGCAGCAGTCGCCCAGAGCTCAAATGAAACCTTGATTACCCCCCCGAAAAACCCCCTGCTGGGACTTTCAAAACGAAAATGTTCTCCCCTGCCTCCAAAAACAATACTGTCGAGGTATCCTTGAGCAAGACCTCTTAAAGTTAATGTGTCTCTGTGTGTGCTTCAGAAGCACCTGCTGCTGGCCAAACAAACAGCCCCAACAACAAAACGGTTTTCCAGCTTGCTGCTGCTGTTTTTTAAAATGGTAATTTGTTTTTGTTTTTTTGTCGACACTCGGTACAGTCGACTGATTTCTCTCCTGCATCTGTTCATTTAAACACGGCGAGGCTGCAGGTCCACTTCAGGAACTTCCGATATAACTGCGACTCCAAACAGCTTGCTGAGATTATTTGAGCGTGTGCAAGCCGATAACAACACAATGATGTGACTGTTTGTGTCATTAGTGATGTGCAATAGAAGCTACCTGCTGGACTGACTCAAACAGGATGCAATAGGAGAAGAGAGTAGGTGAACGGGGGTGGGGGGGTTGGGGGGGGGTTACTTTAGTGACTGAAAGAATACAAATGAAATGAAACATTTGTCATAAATGTCCATAAAGTGTTGGTGCTGACTTGTTGCATCAATACATTTGTTATGAGATGAATATAATGTGACATTACAAACAGTGGTCATCATTCTCAATATGATTTAAATGGCATTTGTACTAAGGCTGCGTTCCATTTACCTCGGAAGTCGAAAGTCGGAACTGGGAATGACGCCACACCCGAAGTTAACTGCGTTCCAGTTTCAAGTCGGAAAAGCAACATGGACGCCTCCAGGAGTACCTTCGTTTTGTTAGCTAATACCAGACAATAACAACACACTACGTGATAGTTTCTGACCGAAAATAACATGAATACACCTCCACAGAGAGAACTTGCACGATACCATCGGTCTGATCGATTTAATTACATAAAAAGACGAGTAAACTGCTAATACACTCAACAGTTGCATCTTAAACATCCCTTAGGATGCATGTAGCAGCCATATAGGAGCTGAACTCGGGATTATTTTTTTACTCCGAGTTTCCGAGTCATAATTACGACGTCAGGGAACTGGGAATTTCCCACTTACGAGATCAACTGGAACGCACCAATATCCTCATTTGAAGATTTGCATGATATCTAATTAAATTGAGTTTAGCCAATTTTTGGTGCACAAAACAGTGGACACCACTTAAGTGTGCGCGCCCCGTGTATGGAGGCTGTAGTCCTCCAAGAGGGCAGCCCAGGTATGAATCCAACCTGTGGCTCCTTTCCCGCATGTCATTCCACTCTCTCTTTCTCCCTTATTTCTGACTCTGTCCACTGTCCTACCTCTGCAATAAAGGCACAAAACGCCCCAAAATAAATCTTTAAAAATGTTTTTCGCTATTAACGTTTTGTCATAAACACTCCTGAAAGGACTGCTGCGGATATTCTCCTGAGCTAGCTGTTCATATATGCTCCATCTGACTATCCCTGTCAGATGGGGGGGGGGGGGGTAAGACATGACATTAAAGAGAAGTCCGCTATACGACGCAATTATGAAAAGTATTAGTCACTCAACCCCTCATTCGCTCGAGCTGAATTCTCCGGAGAATATCCTGCTGTGTTCTCACATCAGCCCCACTCAGACTTGCTGCGGAAAAAATACCAAGAGGCTGGCAGGAGAAACTTCGGGTCAAGTCCGAGTGACAAATGTGTCTGTTTGCGTTCACACATACAGCTCCTCCTGGAAATATCAGGAGTTTTTTCAGGAGTTTTCTGCATGTGTGAAAGCCCTACATCATCCCCCTCCAGTCGCTCGCAATTCATTTCCCTGAAGATTTCTTCTCCAGCTCACCCCCAAACGTTCAGGAACATTTCAGGAGTTTTTGTGCATGTGTGAAAAGTCCTTCTTCATGGGTTTAGCGTTTGCATGAACACGGAGCATTCCAGCAGAGACACTCGATCTGAGAGTGCACTCTCATGTTTTGCCTGAAGGTCATCTGGCTGCTGCCCGGGGAATCTCCTAATCCCCTTATAAATGCAATGAAACTGTACAATGACAATACACGCATTGAAAGCCATCAGACAAAAACAAACCTCGGCCCCTTTCCACTCAACCCCCGAGGCCTCACGGTGTCATCTGAGAAGGTGATTACAGCCTACGATGCATCAGGGTGCTCTTGTCTCATCTCAGTTTAACAACATCAGCGGTAGGTTGGGTTTGAAAGCGGAGCGCGGACACAGATGGGCTTCCACTGTGAAACCCTATCGCCTTCCACTTGATGTCCTATTAGACCTCAGGCTAAATTGAATTGAATTCTCTTCCTGTTGTGCTCCCATTACGTGAAACATCTGCTCTGAGTGTGTGGGAAGGGGAGTGAGTGTGTGTCTGCTTTGTATTCATCAGATTACCTTGATGTCAATTAATGAAGCATCGGGGCCACTTTGAGGCTAAGCTTGTCCCGTTCGACTTCTACTGTTATGCCAATTACAGTCTGAAAAGAAAGACTTTCAATTGGAACGAAAAAAAAGGCAAACGATTCAAACAACAATGCAGCTCATTTAACCCAGAGGACAATTTAATCATCAATCCACTTGTTGAAGTTTCAGAACTAAATTAAGTTTGAAGTACATCCCTAACAAGCTTTTCTTTGCTTTTCAGAAGCTGATGACAAAAAAGTTTTCAGTCACACAGAAAGCAGGAGGTCAAAACTTGTCAACTTGTAATTTACTTTCACTCTGTGTTCAAGATTCAAGGTACCGAATGTCATGTTCTTTTTGTATCTGCGTACATAACAGTGAGGAAATGACTCAAAGACCCGACATTGATCCAACCTCGAGCAGAACCGGACTCATGTTGAACAGCCATCTAATGCGTCTGTGTTGGGTTTGGAAAGTGGGTCGCTAAGCCGTTTTCAGCGGGTCACAAATGTGTGCCTGGGAAAAATAAATGGTGTCAAAAAAATCTATAAAGTGCTTCATAAACCATCTGAGGTCGGAACTGCACAATTTTCAATAAATACATTTTACTGGTAAAAAAAAGTTTAAAATTTGGGTCACAATTTCTCTTTAAGGATTTGGTTTTGGGTCCTGAGGCTAAACAAGTTGAGAACCAGACGGAGATGAAGAAAGAATAAATGGATGCTGGTGTGATCGTTGTGCAACGTACTGAAGCTACTTTTCTGCTCACCAGTCTGTTCTTCTCTACAATCCTACACTTCATTTAGCAGACGCTTTTATCCCAAGGCTACGAACATCAGAGAGTAAGAACAAGACAAGTGAGGAGCTAGAGAGGAGGAAACAACGACAGGAAGAGCAAACAAACAGCTTTATGTCTGATCGGACACACAGGTGCTGACAGGAAGTGAGCAGAGGTGCTGACAGGAAGTGAGCAGAGGTGCTGACAGGAAGTGAGCAGAGGTGCTGACAAGAAGTGAGCAGAGGCAAAGCACCTTTTTTTATTATAATAAAGTTAATATATCGTCACCAACAACTACATGAACAGCTGCTCTTTAGAGTTCTGATCAGCATCAAAACTATCCTAAATATCATCATCATCCAAATACAAACCATCATCATCATCATCACCGTCGCTCTACTCGTTTGTGGAAACCTTGAATGCATCGATTAACAAGTAGAATTAACAAATAGACAAAAACTTAAAATCATATTATCTGTGACGCTTTGTCCACTATCTTAGATTTCCACTGCGTCTTTTTCAGAATGTCTTGTCTCCTGAGATCGCCCTCCTCCTGCACAACTTCACACTGTGAGGGGCAAACTGTCTGTTAATGAGCAACACGGGAAGATTTC